AATAGCGCAGATGTATTCCATTCCTGACATCTTAGAAAGCTGAATATTCACACTAATCGTTATCTTCAGATTATTTATTCTCTGATACAACTCTATGTATTTTGATATCATTGTTTTTCTATCGAGCTGTTCTTTGTATACTACTATGAAGTGTGGCAACCTGAGCCGATCCACGTGTTTGCAAGGTTCAACGTTGATTTTGTCAGTCAGTCACTTACCATATTCGAAGAGTTTCAATTGACATTGGTTCACAGATCATCGACCAAGGAATTACCACGCCTTATCCAACCAACACTTTACACCGAACCTCATCATCATTCACACATATTGGTGATTTCATATATAAGTGTGATGCTACAAAGGTGGTAGTGGTGATCGAATGTGTGTAGTTTTCGCACACCTTTCGTATCCAAGAGCCGTTCTCCACAGGTTTTCTGTGGGACATTTGTCATCCCCTAACAGACATCTGTCTAATACATCATTTTGTGAAAGTGTAATACCTGCCTTTTCGTGGAAGGATTTTATAATTGCATTTATACCAAATTCACCTGGTTCAGATGTGGAATGTAGACCTTCTGCTATAACTTCTAGTTTTTTGAAAAGAATGGAGAAAAGTTCTATTTGTGCGTGAACCCTCATTGAAGGCTTTGAGAGATGATAGTAGAAGTAGTTTTGATGTTGTTGCCTTTATCTAGCTTGACAACACTTCTCCAGTGAAAAGGAAGATGCGAATTGGGAAACTTTGTCGTCTGGGATGGCCTGCCTGTACATGTGCTGGGCATTCCAAGCCACTGCCTACGTCAACGTGCTATGCTGGAGAAGTTGGATTATATTGAAATAGGGTTGAGGGTGACTAGACCAAGACGTGGCGCTAGTGGATGAAGTTTTTGAGTGTTGATGTGACTGGTGTGGGGCGATGTAGACTGGCTGGCTGGGATCGCTGAGACTAAAGGTATTTAGTGTTTAAGGACTGTTGTTGACATGGCTGGAAATCGGCCACAATGGTACAGATGTATTCACTGTTTGATGTCTTCTACAGCTTTAATATTCACACTAACCACTATATTCATATTGTTCTTTGTGTACTACTATGATTTGTGGCAACCTGAGTCAATGGATTTGTGTGGAAGGTCTCACAATAATTTTGTCATTCAGTCAGGAAATTATGTTTGCTATGCCTTCTTAGATTACACGTCTGCATATGTCATCGCGTAGGTCACAAACTGGTTACACTGTTGTTGTTGTGTTTTTTTTGAAAGCAAACAGTATACTGTTTATGAAGCTAAACGCCTCACTTCATTACTTACTGAAACTGGTGTCCCTTAAAGGTGTTGTACATTTTGCTCTGTTTTCTTTTCGCATGATTTATCATATCCTTTCATAAAGGATTTCGATGATTTAACAGTTACTGTAGCAGGTTTTTCACAAATGAATGGCTTCTTATCTGAAATTCATCAGTGATCTTATTGAAATGGTTTTAGGCTAAGGTTATCTAAATGTCATGTGTAAACAGGACTTGTGCGAACCACTACATTCCCAGGACTCTTATAAAATTGAAAACGGCAAGATGGAGACGAAGGAATGGATGTTTGGTATTGACATCTGGTACAGTAATCGTCAAATATGGTACACCCTACACTAAGGCAGTTATTTGCATAATATACTTCATTTCCTCTTCTGCTTCTATCTTGATTTGCTGTTAATACGCCGACATTGTCTCTTTCTCTGGGCAGAATCCTTACCCATTGCTGGTAATGGCCTATGATTCCTGCCGCCCTCTCAACATAATACTACTCATATCTATTCTGATCAACAACAACCACTACAGTATTAGTGTTGAAAGCGAAGTTTGAGCTGTTTTTATATCGATCTATGTTGATCATTTCATTTCTTTATTCTTCCTCTTAAAACTTTCTTAGCCTTGTGTAAAAGGATTATATTGGGTTGTTTATGGCTGTTATTAGGGTTATGAATATACTATGGGCTGAAATGATTGACACCATACTCGATAGGCATTTGAATTCATACATGTCAGTAGTTACAGTCATTCACTGATCTCGTTGCATCTCCTTAGGGAAGATATGAAGGGTTTATATAACGCCTTAAAATTCAACAGTTCCTTATCTAGCATGTGTCTTGTGTTAAGAAAACACTATCAGATCATAAAGTGCTCATCAATCAACTCATCAGTCTTCTAACTTTCCACATATTAACTGTCTTGTTTGTATTCTGTTCTCTACCCTGGGTTGTGTAGTCATGGAGCTTTCATCATCCTGCTAGACGACATCATCAACACTAACTTCAGTATGAAGTGACACCTGTCATTATCTCTCCATGAGTGATTTGGCACCTTACCCTGACGAACTGGTTTATGATTGGTTGTTTCCTTTGATTGTTGTGTCACTGACTGACAACTGTATAGATTTTCCTGTTGGCTGTTCATCTGCTTGACCTTCCTGTTGTTAGCCATTTATCTGATTGGTTGATAGACTGGGTCTATCATGTCTATACATCTCACCATTGATTACTGACTGACTGACCTGAATGCCAAGCTTCTAGGATTTCTCCGATATTCTTTGTGTCTCCTCTCTCTGTCCAAAATTTCTACATTGTCAAAATTGAATTTCTGTCCATAGCTATTATTCATGTGATGAAAGGTAGTGTGTGACGTTTAATAGCTAGTTGGTGTTGATGTAGACGAAAGTGAACAGGGCGACCACTTTGTCCAATGTAGTGTTGACTACAATTACTCTAGTCGATTTTGTAAATGATAATCGATTTAACCCTTTGGTTTTTGCATCCGTTTGGTCTGTATAATAGTGTTTGGAGGGGATTTGTTGGTTTATGAGCCACATCAATTCCACCAAGTGGTGTCAGTAATCTTTTCGTAATCTCTCATATATTCTGATAAGACACAGATTCAATCTATCAACCAGTGAGAAAAGTGACAAACGACAGAAAGGTCAAGCTGATGAACGGCCAACAGGAAAATCTATACAGTTGTCAATCAATGACACAACAATCAAAGGAAACAACCAATCATAAACCAGTTCGACAGGGTAAGGTGCCAAGTCACTCATGGAGAGATAATGACAGGTCACTTCATACTGAAGTTAGTGTTGATGATGTCGTCTAGCAGGATGATGAAAGCTCCACGACTACACAACCTAGGGAAGAGAACATAATACAAACAAGACAATGCACCTGAGCTACAAATATTCTCCACCATTACATATTAACTTTCTCCAGTACTTATATTATTCGTATGATTTAATCCCTGTAATTGTTAGCATTAAGAGTAGGAGCTGTGAATTAGTGATTTAGGGAGATGATTATCAACCATTTGGTCACGAGTTCAAGCTTCCCTCCATATACTGAGGTTTTAGCAGCCATGTAGTATCACTAACCCACTCACAATTGGTGTGACTCATTGCTTACTGCACGAATATGCACAAGGTAGCTAAGTGCGTTGCATACTATTATAAGTGCTGAAAGAATCCCGAATTCTACCAAAAATCTCCTCTGGAATAAATTTTATTATTATTATTATAAAACATTGTATCACTAAAAGTCATGTATGTTGACGGAAATCGTGTTTTCCAGCCTGTTAAGGCTAACTCAGTATAGAGTGGTCAGTGCCTCCAGTGTCATATCACTGCATACGTTTACACCAACTCGCTGTTAGTATATATAGACAGTTCTGGAGTACTGCCTGCGGTATTGATACGTTATAAAAAGCCCCAATAAATCTCACATTTTTAATTTCTCAAAGCGTTCAAAAAATTCTGGTTATGTTGTTACCTAACATGTTTCTTTATCAGTCAATCTATTTCCTGAGATAGTATTTATTCATGCACTGATATCAGTTGGAGAAACATTGAAAAGTTGGGAGCACTGGACAGCTGTTTCGCCCTAGTTATGGCATTCTTTAGCAGTACGCACCCACAAGGCTGCCGTCGATGAAATTCAAGACTTTCATGTTTCACGGGGAATGCGTTCAATAGTTCTCTTACTGATGTCTATCCATGGTTATTACTTCCTTAAAAATAAGTATCCCGATTAACTGCAAAATCTTTAATTTTTATTTGCTGAGTTGGTTGAAACAACAACAAAAAAACGTGAAAATTTTGATTAGTAAATTTACTTATAAGACGTGTTCACCTTACTGCATCTGCGATGTCGCTGCTATATGCGACTGTCTATTAAGGGTCGAGTGTACTATCCTGCAGTCCACTCTATTCTACTGTATAGTTGTGAAACATGGCCATTAAAAGGCTTCAGGTGTTTGATTACCTCTGTCCTCGTAGCATAGGCGGTATTCCGTCGTGTCATCACATGAGTAATGCAGAAGTCGGGTGTAGAGTTTTAGGGAGGAGAGGTAGGTTAATGATTGAAAAATGTGTTACGTGTGCCTAACCACCGTCTGTCTCCTCATACAATGTCGGTCAAAGTAGGTTCAGGCTGAAAAAAGGCTCAAGGTGACCAAAATGAAACACGGCATCAATGTATGAAGTCGTTGACTATTGGTTAGAGAAATGTAGGGCTATGCAAACTAGTCGGTTGAGGTCTATGAGAAACCAGTGGTTAGAGACTCTAAGTGATGTATCATGACTGAGAACTGATGTTAATGGCGTAGATGTATACACATTTTATCCTTATCCTAACCGCTATACTTAATCTCATCTTTTTTTTTCTACTCTTCTTTCCTCTCTTTGACTACTTTCTTTAACCAATTTTTATTTTCTTCTTCATCTTCCATTTTATTGCCTGCTGATGTAAGGTGTAGCAACACTTGGATCGTTATACAGTAATGCCTGGTCCTATGTTAATCTTTATAATGATGCATAATGATGTGTTAATTGATAAAAATAAGTAATTAAGTAGTAATGATCACCTGTTTTTCGTTTATTTGAAAGTCTGTAAAGTACTTTAAACAATTTTTGTTTTAAAAATAAACAAAAATAATTGTTGTATTATTCATATCTTTATGATAATTACAGAATTGTATTAATGAATTGGATAAAAAGTCATATCATTCACAAAATTCCCTTGGTTTATCAGAATCATATTCATCAAGAAGTAGTCATTCTCATCGACATAGTCAACGATGTTCAAAAGATCAAGAAAAGGTAAATTCTAATTTTCATTTATTTTTCTGTAAAGAGAATTTCGTTTACCTTACTGTTTGTTCTAAGATACATTGAAGAATTTAGACTATGCATTAATAGATGAAGTTGCAGATAATCTAGTAGATTGACAATCTCGAACCTGTCAGAGGAAACTTGAACAGAACTTAAGAAGAGCAACCTACTACAGCCAATTTACTTAAAAGTCTCAATGGATTAGCTGGTCTACAGTCTAAACTTCTAAGCAGCCCTAATTTTCTGTGAACTAAGGAAGTGAAAAATGATATTTAACTGCATTAAGAAGGTCTACAGGTAACCATTTATAGTTTCTATGTGTATTACAACAAAGTGAATGAGTTGTTGAGTATGTTAACTGTGTATTAATGACTGCAAAACAATTATTTAACTGTCGAGAAAGGATTTTTGTCAACCATCTGATCCTCGTTGTTCAGTTAGTTAGAGCCTTGGGCAGGTAACCCGAAGGCTGAAACCTATATTTCCATTCCACCTTCAATTATTACCTAGTGTGTCAATATAATAGTAATCTGCTAAGCCACGGCTATCTCAGGCAGTCAAACTGATAATCAAAATGAAAAGAAGCCCAAGATAGTAGTATAGAGAGTGTTCATTGGGTAGTTACTATGGGTAATGGTAAAAATATCACACTGGGTGATGAATGAAGGTGAAAAGAAAATTTGGACCTCGGTAGAATTCGAACCAGAGACCACTGGGTTCACAGCCAGGGGCTCTACCAACTGGGCTACGAGGTCCAACTGCTCACCAGATTTTTATTTCACTTCAATCACCAAGGATTTTACCCGACTACCATGTGAATTCGTGATGCGTTACTATCTCTTGATCGTATTCACACTGACTGCCCACTAGTCAGGACTTCTCATCCGAATGGTTATAAGTAATATGTGTTGAGATGGTGGCAGAAATCATAGGGAATTACCAGCAACGGGTAAGGATTCGCCAATAGGAATGCAAGAGACAAGGCAGGCGTATGAAGTGCAAATCAAGAAAGAAACAGAGGAGGAAATAAAGCACATTATGCTAATGATGGTTTTAGTGCAAGGTGTACCATACTTAACAACTACCGTCCCACTGGTTGACAATAGACATTCCTTCCTTCATACCTGTCTTCTTTCAATAGTATTTATACTGTGATGATCAACGATGAAATGAGAATTTGACTTCAGTCCAAATTTTTTGGGTCAGGTTGTGAAACAGAAGCACACTTACCAGCTCCCGACACTATCAGTATTTCTTGAGCTGAAGGTGTCATCACACTTTTTCGATCAAGAGGTTTTATGGCAATGTCTCTCACTGAATGGGCAGCGAGTAAGTATAGCACTCTGTCGAACTTCCTGTACTGGAATATACGTGAGTGTGTCAGACCTTATAGTGAGTTGTGTCCGTCAAGGATATCCACTCTCCACATTCATATTCAACTTTAATATAGACTTACTTATTGAGGTCTCCCTTGTGTCGTCTGAATTAATAGAGATCAATTTTTCATCACAGGAACATCCTTAGCATATCCAAAGTATCCGGATGACATAGTCGTGTAAGGTGAAAACGCCTTCAATATACAGTGTTATGGATACCTTGAATGGTAATTTGAGAATGTTTGGATTAAGTTTTTTGCCACCCAAATACAAATTATTGCTCGAGTACTGGTATTCAATGGCATTTTTACAACAGTAAGGAGTAAAATGACTGTACGCCTTTACCACTTCATTCACATGGGAAGTTATATCAGCTCATATGGATCAGTCCTCAACGAAATTTCAGCACGGATACGAGAATCTTTGATTAACCCCCACTATCTCAACATATACTACTTATATCCATTCTCATCAGCAACGCCCACTACACTAGTCTGCTAGACCACTGCTATCTTAGATGATGAAACTGATAATCAATATGATACTCCTCCTCTCTAATTCAGTTAGATTTGAATTGGGATGAGAAGTCCTGACTGGTGGGCAACCAGTGTGAATACGATCAAGCGGAAGTAACGCATCATGAATTCATATGGTAGTCGAGCAGAACCCTTGGTGATTGAAGTGAAATAAAGAAATCTGGTGAGCAGTCAGACTTCATAGCTCAGTTGATAGAGCATCGAGCCGGAGCCTAGTGGTCGCTAGTTTCAATCCGGCCACGGTCCAAATTTTCATTTCATCTTCAATCATCACTTAGTCAATACTAGTCTACCAAACCACGCCTATTTCACCCAGATAGTCAGTGTTAAAAATATTATACCAGTACGATAAAGTCACATTTGCAAACATCTTCATTTTATGGCATTTAGTGTCTATTATTCTTCGACTGGATATATTTCTACTCGAAATTGTGTCTTCTTCTCTGTCGAATCTTTACCGGTTGATTGTTATCATTTCTCGTGTTTCCTATTGTTCCATTATATACTATTCATCTACACATTCTCATAAGTAGCGCTTATCTCAAGTGGTTATCATCACTGAGATTAGAGATGATTTTCTTCAATTCTATGTTGTAGATGGTTGTGAAGAGATAGTCAGTGGTATATATGACTTGAGATGCACAGGACCTCGAATCCATTCTATCCTGCATGATTGGACACCGTTTAAATGCCTAGTCTTGTCATATAGTACTAAGAAGTGGAGGGAAAATCGTAAACCGGTGTACAATTTATATTGTTGGAAATTATCAGATTAGATAACCTACAAAGGCATTAGATTATTATTTATTTATTTGTTCCTTGGGTTCCTAATGGAACATGGGGCTTCAGTAGCACGTCTCCAATGCTCCCTATTCTCCAAAATCTTTTGAACCTGGCTCCACGAAGCCCACAAGCTCTCATTTCCTCCTCGCACGATCTCCTCCATGTCACTCTCAGCAGCTGGGACTCCCAACTCGTCGTTCCCCATCAGGGTTCCACTCGAGTGCCTGGCCTGACACGTGATGTCCCCAGTCGGCCTTCTCAGTGTATACCCAATCCATCTCCACTTCCTTCTGCATATTTGTTGGGTAATAGGTTTTTGGTTGGTTCGTTCCTAGAGTTCTTGTTGCTTATTCATTTTGGCTATCTGATCTTCAGTAACGAGCCTACAAAGGCATAGAACCTGATTATTGATTATGTCATTATGTTTGGTGATGACTAGTGTTTGAATCCAGGATGCGCATTTCGTCCTACTTGGGACTCGTCAGCTGGATGTACCTGCATCCAAGTGAATAATGTTACCTCCACTGGAGCATGAGAGAAGAAAATCAGACCATTGATACGCTATGATTATTCAAAGTAAAATAGAAACATAATCATGACAAGATTTGAACTAGCAGCTTCAGAATTACTAATTGAATTAGAAAAATACAACTGGTGGCTACATCTTACCAGTCTATTGAATCAAGAAGTAATATCACACTTCCCGTACCCTCCACAATTCAGTTGGATTTTAGACTGCGATGAAAAGACTTAACTGGGCAGTCAGTCAGTGTAATCACAATGACAATGTGTAGTGGTAAAATGTTTACATGATTAGGTCATAGTTACCTTAGCGTTTAGTCAATTACTTGTAGTTTCAAACTTTATGCAAAACAGAATCTGTTCATCTTTCATGCTGGGCTATTTGCATTGTAATTATCCTTGATTTAAACATTCTACTAATTAATGCTACATTATATCTTCATCTATTACTTTCAAAAAGGCACCATCATCATCAAAACACGAAAACCGCCATCGGAAGCCACGAACACGTCAGTTAGATACAGATGGTCTAATGGATGATATTCTACACAGTAAGTTTAAGCAGTGAAGATAATAAGAGAAAATACCATTTTTAACATTTTATCAAACAGAAATCTTATGTTGCGTTTAAGCAAATTGTATGCACGACGTATAACAGACGTAAAAGGTGTGTACCTCCCACTAACTATTAAGGTTTCATTCTAACTAGAATCTTCAATCTAAGATTCTAGCTCCTATAATCATTAGCTACCTGAGTGGAACTCAGGAACAGCAAGCCGGAGAAAACCAGACAGCCTTCACATTTGGTCATGGAGGTATCGACTAAATATTCACATTTCACAAAGTTCTTCAACACAGGCACGCTTACCAACCCCCCCCCCCCCCAACAATTGCTGTATTTCTCGACCTGAAAGCGGCATTCGACTTCGTTGGTCGAGAAGTCTTATGGCAGTGTCTCATTCAAAGGGGTTCCGAATAAGTACATCACTCTATTGAAGGCTCTTTACCCTAACACTTGTGGGTGTGTTAGACCCTATGGTGAAATATCTGCGGAGCTGTGCTGGTCAGGTGGCGTCCTTCAAGACTCCCCGCTCTCCATTCTTATTCAATTTTATTATAGATATTCTTACGGAGGTCTCCCTCTCGCCATCTGATTACACAAAGGTTGACCCAGTCGTGGAAGAATCTCGCTACACCTAGAATAGATGGATGACATAGTCCTGTTAGGTGAAGAGCATGGAGGAATGCAGAGTCTTCTGAACACTTTGAATGGCAATTTGAGAATGTTTGGGGTGGGTTTTTCACCACCCAAATGCAAATCGTTGCTCCAGGATTGGTCTTCAACGGTGCCCCACCGCGGCTAACAATAGGATCAGCCCTGATGGCTCAGTCGCCGGTGAAATCTATATACGAATACAAAAGACTCGGTTGGCTTTTGCTAACTTATGCCACCTGTGGCGCCGCCGTGATATCCCTTTGTCTATTAAGGGTTGCATGTACTGCACAGCAGTCCGCTCTGTTCTACTGTATGTCTGTGAAACGTGTCCATTGAAGGTGGAAGACATGAGAAGGCTTCAGGTACTTGATCACCGTTGCCTTCGTAGTATAGGCGTATTCCGTGGTGTCATCATGTGAGTAACGCAGAAGTGAGGTGTAGAGTTTTAGGGAGGAGACGTAAGACAGTTGATGCTGTTGTGAACTTCATGGGCTCAATTAGCTGGGACATGTTTTACGTATGCCTACCTACGCTCTCCTTGTCTCACAATGTTGTGCGGAGTAGATTCAAACTGGAAAATGCCTCGCGAGGCAGACTGAAAAGTCGCATCAATGCATGAAGTCTTTGACTGTTGGTTTAAGCCATGTAGGGCGATGCAGACTAGCCGGTAGGGGTTCGCGGGCCAGGAGAAACCAGTGATTGAAGATTCTAAGTGATTTATCATGACTGAGAGCTGGTGTGAGTGGTGCAGATGCATAAACACTTTATCCTTATGCTAATCGCTATACTTGATCTCACCATTTTCTCATTCCTGCTTCCTCTTTATTTTATTGCCTTGTTACTTGATGTGTTGATATGAGATGTGGCAACTTGAACCGTTGTGCAGTATATACCCGGTCGTATATTGATCTTGATGATGAGTATTATTGAGGTAAATCCAGACTTCCCGGTTGATGTTCGCGTTCAAACCGAGATCACTGGATAGGCACACGGCTCGAAATCGGTCACAGCATTGCAGATATGTTGGTACACTGTCTTTATGTTAACCGTCACACCGAAGTTCACTACTATTCATGCCACCTTGCTATCTTTTGACAGCTTTTTACCACTTTTGACTACTTTCTTCCTTATCTTTTTATCTTCCATCTTAATGCATTCTCACTTGATGTACTGATTTGAGGTATGGGAACTTGGACAGCTACGCAATGATGACAGGTCTCATTGACTAATTAACTGACTGAGCATTCGTTAGCTATTTTGACAAGGAATGTGGCATTGAAACTATTTGAGAGACAATCATCTAGGGGGGTAGTATTAACACAAATTGACATTGGTCTAAAAATCGTTAAAAGTTATGTAACTATTACGTAAAGATTTCTGAAAAACAAATTTTTATTTCTTGAAGCTGATCGTAAAAAAACAGAACCGAGTTAGATGTATAAGCATAAATGCTTGCCGATAGCACTGATTTATGGTCACTGCATATATCGCGAATTGATAGATGTAGAAAATTGTGGATCATTGAGAATAGCTCAGAGGTTTAGGGAGATGATTATCAACTATTGAGTCACGAATTCGAACCCACCCACCTCCCTTCACCTACCGAGGTCTGAGCAGTCAAGTAGTATCACTAACCCTTACACAATAGGTGTATGGTTCATTGCCTACTGCATGAATATATACAAGGCGATTAAGTGGATTTTTTTAATAACGGATAGCGGAACGTTTATGGAACATGTAAAACTCACAAAGTAGTATAAATAGATTTACATTCTCCCCTCGACAACCATGCAGGATAGTGCTCCGAGATATATATATATATATATATATATATATATATATATATATATATATATATATATATATATAGCATAGTATAGTATAGGAAAGAATATGAACCGATTGAATTGTTTATTAGAAAATTGTAGTGAGTACTAGAGTTCATAATCTGATGGCCACATTCGAAAACGATCGATAAAATTCGATCAGTACTTAAGATTAGACAACATGAAGTTGGTTACCTTTCAGTGGCTAATCAATAAATGTGTCCTTATGCTGATTTCACTAGTAACTCGTTAGTTTGCTTTGCTTCGCTTAATGATACTTTTACATCAAACATTGTATTGTGTGATTACAGTATCACCAATTCATTGTGTACTTGATGACTGAAGAGACCAATCAATTCTCGAATGACTTAATACAGTGTCTTCTGAACGCTTTAACTATAAACCTTAGTATGTTTAGCATGCGATTCGCTTACACCTGCTGACAGTTGTAAGATAATCCTCCACAACTGGTCTGCATTTACTCCCAGTTCCAAGATACAGAGTGAAGTGGTGGAATGTGTCGAACGAGCTAGATGTTGACAAAGTCTCAGCTTGGATACGGAAGGCCGTTTGGTATTTGCCAACAAGCGTCATCTCTGGAGCCCCCTGACAAGATATCCGACTATGTATAAAAGGATGAGGATATTGCACTGTAGCCCGTTCTATCGTGTTATACAGCAGAAAATATGAACGGTTACAGAGTTTTGATCGTAGGTGTCTTCGTACCATTGCTCGCGTTTCGTGGGACCACTGTATGATCAATGTTGAGGTCAGGCGAAGGATACTAAGCAAGTTAATTGATGAGGTTGTGAACCTTCATCTGCCGGAGTGGCTTATACGTGTACTGTGCTATGCCAGACGAAATTGGATTAGGTTAGAAGGTTTAGGGTGTCACCAGTTCATAAAGTCCCTGACTGGTGTACCCGAGACGATAGGAATCAATGGTTGAGGACTCTTGGTGAAATGGTTGAAGATCTGTCAAAGTAGCGGAGATGTTTACACCCTTTCACATGTTCAATAACCTTCAATTATTTCTCCTCTCTCATTCCATATACCTTTGTTCTACCTTGATTTCATTCTTTTTCTATCCAATTCCTTATTTGAATTTTGCTGTAAAGTGTAACAAATTTGAACCGAAGCACTTTGCATCAGATTCTATATTGATTTGTTTATGTGGCAGTGATCATGACTAGGTAATTTCCAATGGAAACCTTCTTGGTTATATTGTGTTCTCTGAGCTGGGTTGTTTAATTGTCAAGCTTTCAGCCGCCCTCTTCGCCTTCGTTACATGAGCACCAATTGGCTATTCAACGTCACATATGACATTTCATCACTCATTTCAATCCACGTGGATAACAACTATGGACATGAATTCAATTTCGACAATGTAACGATATTGAACAGAGAGAGGAAACACAAAGAATATCAGAGAATTCCTAGAAGCTTGGCATTCAGGTCAGTCAGCAATCAATAGATGTATAGACATAGAAGCAATCTACCAACCAATGAGGAAAATTATAAACGACAGAAAGGTCAAAGGTGAAGCAGATGAACAGCCAACAGGAAAGTCTATACAATCAATGATACAACAATCGAAGGAAAAACCAATCACAGAGCACATCATTAGAGCAAGCTACTAAATCCCTCACGGAGAGATATTGACAGCTCACTTCATACTGAAGTTAGTGATGATGTCGTCTAGAAGGACGATAAAAGCTTCACGATTAAACAACCAGGGTAGAGAACACAATACAACCAAGACCATCCACCTGAGCTATAAATATTCTCCATCATTTCAATGGAAATCTTATTGAATACAATAATTTTCAGTAGCTGAAAAAATTAATGAACTTTGAAATTTTTAATATATACTGTGTAATTGAAATGATGGAGAGTATTTTTAGCCTAAGGAGAAGATTCATTGCAATTCTCTAAACTTCAGTATTGATTTTACCCTAGAAAGATAATGAAGTCTGAGAATTAAAGTATACAGTTTGTAGAACGTAACAGAACCAAAGAAGAAAAAAATGGTTTCAGAAGGTATGTACATTTGCATAGAGGAGATGTTCTTGTTCTTCTTAAATTCGGTTATATGATTTTTACTGTATCTTTATTATTTTTATTTCTTTGTAGATCTTACATTGAATCCCTTAAGAACAGATATACATGTGAGACGATTAGATAAGGTGGATTAATGAATGGGGTTTGTTTTTTTTTTAAATCTTCCTCTTTGATTCACTAGACGACAACCTTGTGATGATGATAATTTACTGCTGAATAAAATATTTAAAACCTTTTTATCTATCTAGTCTTCCTACATATACACATTCCATAAATGGCAGTTTTTATCTGCTTTTATCCGACATCCCCCCCCCCACCACCACCACCGCAACCTTATCATTTATCACGATTTGTGTTTATATGCTTTAAGATATTTGTTTCTTTGTAAGTGTACAAATAAATTATCAGTTAACATAACATACTCTATATTATACTATATATGCATACTACTTATATACGTATATTACACTTATATTTAGTAGTATGCCATCTTTCTACGAATAATTCTACAGTATTTCTTAATGTAAAACGTTTAAAAACTAATTCCCTATAAATTGTATACATTGACCCTGGTATTTATTATCTCATTTTTTTGTTTAACCTTTATGCTTTTATTCATAATACTTTATCAATTCATTATTACAAACAATGAACAATTATACCTTACTGCCTAGTTGCATATTATTTCATTGTGTATGTAGTTCTGTGCTTCAGTTGTCAGGAGATTAATTCAACTTGTTTACCTGTCTTGATTCTTCATATTCTATCAATCAATATCAATATAGGATCAGGCATAACTGCGTAACGGTCCGAGTTATCACAGCTCATATCAGTACATCAAGTAGAAAGGTAGTAAGGTGAAAGATGAAGAAAAGAAGAAAATTTAGTCAAAAGAAATACAAAGTACGAAAAGAAAGAAAGGAAGAATGAGAAAATGGTGAGATTCAGTATAGTGTAGTTAAGTAAGGATAATGTGTGTATACATCTGCAACACTGACATCGGTTCTCAGCCATGATGCATCACCTATAGTCTCCAGCCACTGGTTCCTCCTGTCCCACCGACCCCAAACCACCAAGTCAGCATCGACCCACATGGCTCAAACCAACAGTCAGAGACTTCATACATTGGTGCCATGTTTTAGTTTGGCAGTCTCGAGCGCTTTTCCAGCTTGAACCTACTTCAGCCAACATTGTGTGAAGAGGTGATCGGTTACTAGGCATATGTAGTACGTGTCCCAACCATCTCAGTCGATGAAGGTTCATAACCTCGTCAACTAATTTACCTCTATTCCCTAAAACTTATACCTGATATCTGCGTTACTCACATGATGACACCACGGAATACGGCGTATACTACGAAGGCAACGGTGATCGAGTACCTGAAGCCTTCTCATGTCTTCCACCTTCAATGGCCATGTTTCACAGCCATACAGTAGAACAGACCGGGCTGCTGTGCAGCACACGCGACCTTCAGTAGACAAAGGGATATCACGGCGGCGCCTCATACTAAACGAAAAGTAGCAAATCCGCAAAGGCTCAAACCAATTATCAAGTTACTCCGTTCTCATGAACTAGGAACTGGCAAATGTATAGATACTTGCCAAGTTCGCGAATCATCACCCAAACTCCCGTTTGTATGTCAAAGGCGTTCACTATAAACAAAATATTTGCTTGTCTTCATACTCTAACCTGATTGTTTTCTAACATGAAACTTCTTACGCTCTTATAGTAGTAATTCTTAGGTATATTTAGCTTATTCTGTATCATTCGAAGAAAAAATTTAATTTACAATGTAGATTTGGGTCAATTAGAAGTGAAACTATAATTGGATTATCGATTTGAATTGCTCTCTGCTTACCACCTACCAAGGTTCCTCCTGTAACACAGAGAAATAAGTATACAATAAGAAAGTAGTGCTGCTTGTAAAGTTTGTAGTTAGTTTACTTACAATGGAGAAATGAAAACGTGTAGTTACATTATATCATAGAATAGAATAAATAGTTAATCAGTAAATAAATAACTTGATTACTTGTACACATTTTTATGCTGAGTAATAGATGTTCTCATTGTTTTCTCAATGATAAACCTATACAACATTTATAGAGAAACAAGATATGAATTGAGTAAATAAGTAAATGAAAATAAAGTCCGTTAGAGAGAAAGAGAGAAAAAAAAGCAAGGAATGAATGAATGAATGAAAATATTAGTAAAGACAGATATACTTTGTTTGTTCCTTGTAGTATATCCACAATATTTTATTTGTATCATTTACAATTTTAATGAATTAAACAAATATGAACTGAGAGAAAGAATAGTTGTTTTTTTTGTTTAGAAAACAATTGATCATTTATTTACATTATTGGATGCTTTGTTGATGTATTTGTATCTGTTTGACAATGGTAACTACTACTATTGTTGTTGTTGTTGTTGGTATGATCACTATTGGTAGATAGATAATAAGACGGACAATCATCATAATAAGACTTTGAGCATTGACTTGATTTGTAACTGTCTACTACTACTGATGATTGGTATGAATATGGATTAGAAGATCCTACTGAACGATATGTAGATGCAAGTATTGGATTAATAGGATATTTAGATTGTTCATCATATTGTTTGTAATAATCACAATTCAAAGAATCAATATCTTTAGAATAATTATTCATTATTTGATTAGTTGGATAAGATTTAACATTATTTTGATTATAATACAATTTTTCATTGTATATATAATTATCATTTATATTATTAATATTATGTTTATTATATGAAGTAGACTGTTGTTTTAACCAATAAGAATTGAATGATGACTGTACACTAGATACAGGATAATCAGGAATACAACTGATTGTTTCTTGTTGAATATCATCTAACAGATTATCATGATTCCAATAATCTTTTTCTTGTATTGTTTCATTGTATATAAAAGGAGAAATATTATATGAATATGTATTATTATATAGATTATAATTAGATTTAGGCATTATTGTTGATGAATACTTGTTATTTTGTGAAATAAAACTTTCATTTCGATTTGTATTATCATTAAACCAATTTTCCCATGTAATATTATTCAATACAATATTTGATTCTGCATATGTTGGCGGTGGAAATATTGGCTCTTTTGAATTACATACAACATTTTCATTATTTATTTTTGTCTCATTGAAATCATTCCATAATTCTTTAGATAAACATGAATTAATAAGATCTGTTTGTCTTGTTAATGTAGAATAATGATGTTGATGATGATGAGGAGGAGGAGGGTGTATTGTGTTCCCTTGTTCAACATGAGATTGTATAGCATATGATTTATTAGAAAAACGTGCAGATTTTGTTAACTAGAAAAACCAAGTAGTAAATAAGATTCATTTAAATAATATAAAATAATCACCTACCTGTGTATTTGTGTTACGAGGTTTTGTAATTCGTTTACTTCTTTTTACATTTTTATTTGTCGACTTTAAATGAATCATTAACGAATTCATCAGTTCATTATTTTGATTAATATAATTGTTTACAGCTTCACAATGTCTAATTGATGCAACTTTATGATGTGATTGAAGATTTGATACACGTTGTTGAAAACGATAAACTTGTGCTGAAGCCATTCTTAAACGCTTATTCTATTCACAAAAGGTACACCAATTAAAACGATAACCAGTTATTGAGAACTATAAAAAAAGAAGCAACATTTTGCATAACTCAGTATAGAATAAAACTGTAAAGTTACAGAAAAAGCATAACTCACTAACTGGGGCGGACAAGATCAACGTAGAATCTCACATACATGTGGATCGGGTCAGGTTGCCACAATTCATAGCAGTACACAAAAAACAATATGAATATAGTGGTTGGTGTGAATATTAAAGCTGTAGAAGACATCAAATAGTGAATACATCTGTACCATTGTGGCCGATTTTCAGCCATGTCAACAACAGTCCTTAAACACTAAATACCTTTACTCTCAGCTATCCCAGCCAGCCAGTCTACATCGCCCCACACCAGTCACATCAACACTCAAAAACTTCATCACTAGCACCACGTTTTGGTCTACTACCCTCAACCCTATTTCAATACAATCCAACTTCTCCAGCATAGCACGCTGACGTAGGCAGTGACTTGGAATGCCCAGCATATGTACAGGCCATCCCAGACGACAAAGTTTCCCAATTCGCATCTTCCTTTTCACTGGAGAAGTGTTGTCAAGCTAGATAAAGGCAACAACATCAAAACTACTTCTACTATAATCTCTCAAAGCCTTCAATGAAGGTTCACGCACAAATAGAACGTTTCTGAATCGTTTTCAAAAACTAGAAGTTGTAGCAGAAGGTCTACATTCCACATCTGAACCAGGTGAATTTGGTATAAATGCAATTATAAAATCCTTCCACGAAAAGGCAGGTATTACACTTTCACAAAATGATGCACTAGACAGATGTCTGTTAGCGGATAACAAATGTCCCACAGAAAACCTGTGTAGAACGGCTCTTGGATACGAAAGGTATGCGAAAACTACACACATTCGATCACCACTACCACCTTTGTAGCATCACACTTATATATGACATCACCAATATGTGTGAATGATGATGAGGTTCGTTGTAAAGTGTTGGATAAGGCGTGGTAATTCCTTGGTCGATGATCTGTGAACCGATGTCAATTGAAACTCTTCGAATATGGTAAATGACTGACTGACAAAATCAACGTTGAACCTTGAAAACACGTGGATCAGCTCAGGTTGCCACACTTCACAGTAGTACACAATGAACAGCTCGATAGAAAAACAATGATATCAAAATACATAGAGTTGTATCGGAGAATAAATAATCTGAAGATAACGATTAGTGTGAATGTTCAAGCTTTCGGAGATGTCAGGAATGAAATACATCTGCACTATTGTGACCTAGATCACCAAGAGTTGTGGCGACCCCAACCAGACAGTCTACATCGCCAGACACGGCCTAGGCCAACAAGAAAAGGTCTCATTGACTTGTACCAGGTCTTGATCTGGCCACGCTGAACCCTCTTCCAACCTGACCTAGCATGACACTCCCAGGGAGGCGGTGGATGGATGCACTACCGTTCACTTTTCTTTATGATATAGTGTACATGACTGATCAAATGTATCAAAAGGAATTTGCAAATGCAAGTAAACGAGTTCATGTCACTCCACCTCTATCGATCCAAATCAATAACCTAACTGATTACATGCGTACCAAATCTTTATGCCTGGTCCCAATTTTGCTTGCCTAATGGATTTGCAGGTTATACTTCAAGGATATCAGGGATCATTCTCTTTACAAGCATACTAAAAACAGGAAGTACATTCATTAGTAACAGTAAAATATAAGTACTATTATGTTCAAAGTTTACGACGCTTACAACTGGTGAATATCAAAGGATAACAGTAACAGATAGCTATCATTATCAGTAGACTAGATTACAGAGCAGATAATATTTTCCAGTGATTGATTTTCGCAATATGCTGTGCTTTTACTGCTTGCATTGATATCAAAATAACGTAAACACCATCGATACAACAGCATCTACCCTAACAACTCAATACCACACTCAAAAGGAGACAGTTGCTGATATGGCTGAAAACTAAGGTTCACAACTCATCAGTCCACTTGCCTAGTACCCTTCGTTTGACTTCAACATCGCTTACGTGATGATTCCACCAAATCCAACCATTGCTACGAAGACACCAATGATCAAAACCCTGTAATCTTTTCATGTCCTCTACTTTTAACAGCTGTACAACAGGACTGGACGGACTACGGTGCAGTATGCTTATCCGATGATACATAGTCGGATATCTTGCCAGTGGGCACCAGAGACGATGTTATTTGGCAAATACTAAACGGGCTTTCTGTATCCAAGCTGATATTCCCTCAGCAACTAGTTCGTTTGACGCATTCCACCATTTCACTCTCTATCATTAAACTGAGAGTAGTTGCAGATCAGTTCTGGAGAACCATCTTATATGTGACAGGTGCGAGTAAAACGCATCCCAAACCTACTGAGGTTTCTGCCCAACGCGTTCACAAGACCCTGCATGGCGTCAGCGTCTTCACCTGGCAGGACAATATCGTCTGTATACTGCAAGTCAACCAGATGACCTATAGGGAAAACGTCAATCCCTGTGAAGTCAGACCTACATAATGTCATATCCATCAATACGTCTCTGACAAAGTTATAAGAACGGTGACGGTGGACATCTCTACCGGACCCTACTATTTGTTGAAAACTCGCCATAAGCTCTGACACGGCTGTGAGTTTGAGTAGAGCTTTTATCATCATCAACATAGGACTAGGCATTACTGCGTAACGGTCCAAGTTGCCACACCTCTTATCAGTACATTAAGTAACAAGGCAATAAAATGGAAGATGAAGGAAAGAAAAATCTGTCAAAGGAAGTAGAAAGTAGTGAGAGAGGAAGAATGGGAAAATGATGAGGTTGAGTGATTAAGATGAGGATAATGTGCATATGCATCTGCGCCACTGATATCAGTTCCGAGTCATATCACCTAGTCTCCAATCACTGGTTTCTCTCGTTCTGTGAACCCCAACAGGCTTCAGAGCTTTGATTAGCGCCATATACTTGCTCGGTACTCCGTTCACAGTTAGACATTGCCACAACACCTCACGATCAACAGCCAAATACTGCCTTCAGGCCAATAAATATGACAAGTGTCGGATACCGGTAGTTATGCTTGTGTTCCAGAACCTGTTGGAGGAAAAAATCGGGTTCAATGAGTCCTCATCCAGGTCTGAAACTGATTTTCTAGAGCTCCATTTAGGCGTCCGATAACCATGGAGCCTAGGATCTTGGAAACAATATTGATCAAACTGATTCTCCTATAATTGCTATGAGACGATTTCTCCTTCTCATAAACTGGGATGATTATTGAGGCATACCGATCTGACGGCACCCCTGATTCCCATACACTTTCCCGTCACTTTCAGCAGCAATTTCCCACCTCCACCCTTGAAAACTACAGGCGGAAAACTGTCACGTCTTGCTGCATTGCATCGTTTCAGGTTCGATACAGCTTCCTCAACTTCAACGAGAATTGGAGAACCGATATCTACGTCCCATTCAAGTTGAGGCTGTATGTTCGGCAGCTGGAGCGATTCTGAGGGTCAGTTGAACTGTACTTTAAAGTGTTCTGCCCAACTTTCAAGCCACCTGTTCTGAGAAGTTACCAGAGCTCTGTCCTTTCCGGTGGTGATTTCATTTCACCATCGTCTTTTTTCCCAGTACCTCTAATACGCCTAGATAGTTTACGAGTGTTACCCACCGCTGACGCCTTCGCCATCTCTCTAGCTTTCGCTACCCACCACTGCTTGCGATCGTACAGATAGGTGGTGGCTCGGTAAGCCCAACACATGTTCACGTCACCTCAGATGCTTAATGTCCACAACCTCATCAACTGATGCAAGAGCAACTAAACCGATGAAGAGAATGGATTCCGTGGGAATAAAACAAAGAGATATTTAAGGTGGAATACGAAAGTGTAACACGACGATCCTTGATAAAAGAAAGAAATAAGTATAGAAAACATTACAGAACCCTCTCATGTTGCTTGGTTTAGGCAGTTGACTCACTCAGTGGGAAATGGGTCTGAACCACACCTCACCTGCTGAGGTCTGGAAAGCCAAGTGATATTAGTAACTCCTAAACTGTGTGGCTCTTTGCCTACTGCACGCTGAGTGCCTTTTGATTCTTTTATTGATTTTGCGTGCTGATTATTGTAAAAGGTGGGGACTAAGTGCAGCAAAGCCATATTCCATTGACATTTTATGGTCCTAGAACAGCTGGTACTTAACTGATAGCCATTCATATTTCACAAAGATCATCCTTCATGTGATAGTTGACTGGTATTCCATATCGACTGAAACATTTAGAATCAATACTCTGACCGTTGTGAGATGCCTAACTTTCCCTGCAAGATGAAGAACAACACGCTACAAACTTGGGTTCCTTAGAGGAGCACCGGACTTCATTGAACTCAAAATCCTGAAGAATGTATCATACACAGAAGCAAAATGAATATATACTACTATGAAGAAACCATCACCCGGAAAAACATGATGAATCTTATTTTAAGGGCTCCGAGGTACAGCAAATATCAACAAACCAAACGTTGAGTCATAAGTACACACTGTAATTGAGGAGTTAATCTGTCACGTAATCTCCCAATTGCACAAATAAGTTAACCAAAATATTATCTACATGTATTAGTAGCCCATATTTCACTTTTGACACCCACCGGTTCCCAAAAGATTTAGAGGTGAACTGATATGGAGGGCTATTTGATGATTGACTAGGTGAGGAGTCTGGGGACAATGGGGTACTGATTATCACAGACAAATCAAGTTAATAATCATTATTCTTGGTCAGCAGCTGGAAAGAAGGTGGATTATCTTGCCATAACACAGATCACGCATAAACATCTTAAGAACAATGAAACCTGCAGGGTCTTATCAGAAGCGTATTATAGTACCGATGATGAGTATATTCGCTGTGGCCCACTGGTCTAGGCACTAGTCTTCCAGTTGATGGGTCACAGGTTCGAACCACGCCCACTGCCGAGAATTGGGG